TCCACCTATAGAGTACTCCATGAGATTAGCTTGCCTTATGAATTCATTTATTTTCCCCCCATCTCACAAAGATCTAAATTGAGTCTCTCCACCTTTTTTCTTACATCATTAAAATCACCTAAAAGTATCCATAATTCTGTCGTGTTGTTAATAATGGATACCAATTTTAACCAAAGAGCATTTTTTTTTATGACTCTAACATTGTGGTGCATAAACATTCGCGACTAGTGAGTCCTCTGCCATCCTTTGGAACGATCCAATCACCACCAAAAAATTATGATAATGGATAATCGTCTTTTGCCTAAATATATGCAGGTCCCATACACAAAATAATCCTCCTGATCTTCCATTTGCATTAATGGAAGCATGCTTAAATGTGTCCCAATAGTTGTGAAACTCAATACGTAAAGAATCCAGAAATTGGAATCTTTGACGAACATGAATTTTAGGAAACTGAATTTTCTACCTCCTTTGTCTTTCCTCACCAGTATATATGTGTCCATCATTTTTCCAAAAGACATGAAAATCTTCCATAAGATTACATTTGTGCAATCCTCAGGTAGGTTTGATAAGAAGATGGACGTCTCATCCTTGTTGGTTTCCCGATCTCTTGTTTATCTTTTGTTGGTAACTACCTGTCATCTGCCTATGGCATCGGCAGCGCCCCTTGGCCAACTCATATCACAAGTATCAGAATCTATATGTGATGCGTTTCGAGCTATACATAATTCCTATAGTGTACATGCAAACACTAATAGATTTTGAATCTAGTTTGTCTAATGAACACGCAATTGAATATCCAAAGCTATGAACCCTAGATCTATCATACAATTAATCATATTAACATAAAATAGGGTTTAGATCTAACCTTTTATTGTTATATAGCAATAACAATCAATTCCTTGGCTTCTGAAAGCTTAGTGCCTCAAGTGTTGCACCTCTAATGGAGTTACAAACACCACTAAACAACAAGATGAAGAAGAGAAGAGGAATGAGGCACCAAAAACGACTAGAAACCCTAATCCAAGTGTTAGCTACGTTTTTGGGTCTCAAGGGCTGTTTAATTTGGTAGGCAATTAGGGTTATCTAACAAGGAAACCCTAATTTGACTGCTTAAGCCCTAAGCAGCCCATGGACCCTTTCTGGACCATGCCTTGGACGAAAATCATATGGGCTTCCCATAGATTTTGTCCAACCTATATTCGAAGGTGATCCATAGTCTAATTGCAATTATCTTATAATTACAATTCTAGTCCCCTAAGTTTAATTAATCTTTTTTAACCATAAAATTAACTCTTAACTAATTCTTAACTTATATTAATTAAACATTATGATTTCTCTTTTAATTTATTATTCTTATAATATATTAATAAATCATAATTAAACTTTTCTCTCCTTAACTCATCATACATATTGTTGTGGTAAAGGCAACCCAAAAGGATGATGTTCATAACCGGGTCAAGTACATAGTTATGGACTTAGACACTAATCCAACAATATGTTCTCTAGTCATATGACTTTTTGCTTGAATTAATAATAATTTTTTATTAGAATAAAAAGAATAACTGATTATATATTTAATAAAAAATATGATTTTGATTGGGTTTTTTAATGAGAGTGAAAATTTAGACCTATGGATATGAGCAACAGGGAAACATGTTATGCCCATGCGGCAGCCTAATAACGGCGCCATAACGGGAGGAACACTGTCCCCTAGCCGTTAGTAGGTGTTATGTGATAACATGTCATGGTGAACACGGGAGGTAAAGCTATTTTTTGCATATCTTTTTTTTTTTTTTTTTCCAAACGGTCATAATTTCGACCGTTTAAAATGGTAACCTATTAAAAAAAATCAAGTTTTATTTAAACTATAAATCCGCTCAATTTATATCAATTTTACCTACAAAATACATAACTTTCTCTCAACTACATATTTCTTTTTAATAATTCAAAACCAAAATATGGATCGTTTTGATCCGGCCCGTCCGTACAACGATGATAACGACGAAGACGATATGTTCGTGAGTATGATGTACCCGTATTATAAAGACAAGCTAGTACAGTCAGATCCAGATCCACTACTCACGCGACGTGCAGCGTTAAATAGAGATCGCGAGGAAAGACATAGACAACTCGTTAACGATAACTTTGCGGATAATTGTGTCTACCAGCCAAGCGATTTAAAAAGAATGTTTCGTTTGCGAAAAAATGTGTTTGAAAGGATAACAAACGTCAAGGAAGCAATGTATCGTTTGTTTTAACTTTTCTAATTTATAAATGTCACTTTTAGATAAAGTAAATACAATTTTTACATGTTTTATATATATATATATATATATATATATATATATATATATATATATATATATATATATGTATGTATATATATATATATATATATATATATATATATATATATATATATATTTATATATATATATATATATATATATATATATATATATATATATAGAGAGAGAGAGAGAGAGTAAATTACGCGAATGGTCCCTATGGTTTAGGGTAATTTGCGCGTTTGGTCCCTAACTTATTTTTTTAACTCAGAAGGTCGTTACTGTTTGTTTTTGTTAAGCACTTGGTTCCTGTCTTACCTAAAAAGACTATTTTTTTCATTGATTTTTTAATTTATTTAAACAAACACACCCTTAGCCCACTCCTCTCACCTTACCTTACTCACACTACCATTTTTCCGTATTTAAATAATGGTATTTTTAGATAAGACAGGGACCAAGTGCGTAACAAAAACAAACAGTAGGGACCAAGCGCGTAATAAAAACAAATAGTAGGGACCTTCCGAATTAAAAAATAAGTTAGGGACCAAACGCGCAAATTATCCCAAACCATAGGGACCATTCGTGTAATTTACTCATATATATATATATATATATATATATATATATATATATATATATATATATATATATATATATATATATATACACATATATATCATTTGTTTCAACTTTTATAATTTATAAATGTCAATTTTAGATAAAATAAATACAAATTTTACATGTTTAATATATATTTACGTATGAATTTTTCCAATTGAGATATGATGCTAGAGGTAAACGAGGTTTCACAGAGTTGCAAAATATGTTGCTGCAATTAAACTTATGGCAATGTGGCAGTCTCCCGATTCTGTTGAGTATTATATGAGAATGTCTGAGATGACTGCACGAGAAAGTTTGTATTTATTGGCAAGAGGTGTTGTCGAAACCTTCGGTGACTAATACTTGCGCAAACCTTTGTTGCAAGATATGCAACAACTATATGTGGCGCATAAAGAAAGACATGGTTTTCCGGGTATGCTTGGGAGCATTGATTGTACACATTGGAAATGGAAAAATTGTCCCGTGGTGTGGAAAGGCCAGTATTCGAGCGGTCATCATGAAGCGCCTTCATTGGTATTAGAGGTCGTTACATCACAAGATTTATGGATTTGGCATGCTTTTTTCAGGGTTGCGGGTTCTAACAACGACGTCAACATTCTCGATCAATCACCAATATTTGACAATCTTTTGTCAGGAAAAGCCCCTGATGCTCATTTCACAGTGAATGAAAATGAATATCAGTTTGAGTATTACCTTACAGATAGAATATATCCACCATATTCCACGTTTGTGAAGGCGTTTCAACACCCAATATCCCAAGTCACATATATTTCAAGAGACGACAAGATGGAGCACATAAGGACGTTGAACGTGCTTTTGGGGTTTTGAAATCAAAATGACACATAGTTGAACATGATGCGAGACCTTATGAGTTAAATACTCTACGAGATATCATGTATGCATGTATCATAATGCATAACATGGTTATCGAAGATAAATGACACAATATTACAACGTATTTGCCTACGGAACCTACACATGTGCAATTTCAACTAGGGACATCGGAATATTTACATAGAGTGGTTGATACTCAAGATCAACGAAAACACAAGCAACTCCGTGAAGACTGGGTGAATTATATCTACATTGGTCATGAAAATGAATAGTTTTAGGTCAAAAAATGTACGTTTTATCATCATTTTTTTTGTTTTGTTTTTTTAGGTTTTTAAATGTTTTTGTCTTTTGTTTTAATTTTTTTAATGTTGTTTTTAATTTAAGGTTTATTAACAAATTTATTTTTACTTTTCAAATGTTATTCTTAATTTATATGATAAATATATTTATTATGATATAAATAAAAAAACAAATTCCAAATATAGAAAAGAAAAACATCAAAAAGAAATTAAAAATTAACATTGAAAGTAATTAATTGAAAATAATTAGTGTTATCACATGTTATTAGATTTTGTACATTTCATCTTTGGTGTTATAACATCAATATATGAGTAGAATGCTAACGTTACACATTTTGAGTGTGGTAACTTGTAATAACATGTAGTCAAAACCTAGTAATCTTAGAGTGCACAGAGTGGGCAACGCCCACAACCGTTATTACGAGAAGAAAAAAAATAAGGTCGTTACAAAATTTTGTGGTTGTAACAGGAAACAACATGTATACCTTTAACGCACAATAACTGTGGAGAGGGGCAGTGTTCATAGACTATATTAAGCACAATAACGGTTGCCCAGTGCTAATAACCTTATAGTTATTTAAGTTGTATGGTATAAATTATAGAAAGAAGAAAAGAAATTAATTTTTTTTTAAAGAATAGTTGAATTGGATCCAAGGATTATTCTATTTGTGGGAGGAATAGGCGAATATCTACGGATTCTCTAAATTTCCCTAAAAGGCATCAAATCATGATAGAGTTACCATAACTAAACATACAAAATATATTTTTGCAGTTCAAGTTTTAAATGTTCCATCACAATCTATCATTAATAATATTCATATGAAACTAAAATTTTCAAGTACAATGGCCTTCCTTTTATTTCCAGTTGAAAGCTACTTCCAATGGCATCGTATCTCCGGTGATTCTTTATTAGTTGGCCTCCCACACAAATCATCATTGATTACCCTCATTACAGTTACAGGTCTGTCCACGACCGGATTAGTTTAGAGAACTCAACTTCGGAGGAGCCGCCGTCCTCCACCGCAGCCTTTGCCCTTTCTCTCATCTCTAAAATCCCTTCTCTCACCGCTGCCCCTCTCTCACCCTGCATCAACTCCCTCACACTCTTCTCTAGAGACTCCGCCGTCACAAAATCATCCGACGACATATCCACCGCCAGTGCTACCTTTATTTCTTCAACCAAATACACTCGATTCATCTTCTGTTCCGCATACAATGGCCATGCCACCAGTGGCACCCCAGCTACCACCGCTTCAAGCACCGAGTTCCACCCACAATGACTCACAAATCCACCCACCGACTCATGACTAAGTATCGCCGGCTGTGGTGCCCAATTCTTCACCACCATCCCCTTATCCCCAATCCTGCCCTTAAACCCATCCGGAAGAATCGCATCCAGACCGACTTCTTTACCACCACCGGAATTCGAGTCGGTTTTTTTGTCATCTGGTGGCGGATCTCGAACCACCCACAAGAATCTTTGCTCACTTTTCTCTAAACCAATAGCTATTTCCTTCAACTGCTCCTTCTTCAACACACCCTGACTCCCAAAGCATAAAAACACTACACTTTTACTCGGTTGTGAATTCAACCATTTTAAGCACTCGTTTTCGCTAGGATCCACATGATTGCCACCGGCGATCAAAGGTCCGATGAAATAAATAGGCGGAGTTGGACCGTTGGGGATGCATTTACCTTCCCGGAGCGCGTCAACAGCCCTTTCTTCAAACCCCACGAAGGTGTTTGCCATGATTCCGGAAGATTTTGCCATGTTATTCGCAGTGTCTATGAACTTTTTATACGAGTTGGTTTCCCTATCAGACCAAACCATTGGCATATGGGAAGAATGGACAGGAGGCACACCAGGAATATCAAAGAAAATGTTTACATCTTTAAAGCTGTCGGAAGTGGTCTTATCGATGGTGGCGAGATATAAGAACGCACAGAGGCCGGAAGCCCCGCTGGTGTAGAAAAAGTAAGTGGGTATCTTGAGACTTGTGGAAATTTGAAAAGCTGCGTTTGAAAAGAAATCAAGGACCACAGCTTTAATGGTTGCCTTTTCCGATAACGTTACGAGGGTGTCGTGGACGATTGGGTTGTTAAACTCCGGGATCCCAAAAGCAAGGTCTATGAATTCAGTAGAGAAGTCCGGTGGAAGATCGGCGGTGGGGAGCTTGTGGAACGTTATGGAAGGGTTGGTGACGGAGACGGTTTTTATATATTTATCCGTGGAGCCGGTTTCAAAAGGTGCCGGAGTTATGAAGATGGCAACAGAGAGTGAAGGGTGGTGGGTGTGGATGAGTTTTCCGAGCTCCACCATGGAAACCAGGTGGCCTATCCCCGGAGAAGGATACAGAACCACCATACCAGATTCCATTTCCATGTGTGTGTGTTTGGATGGAAGAATGGGTATGTGGAGATGAGACATTGGTGTTTGGTTGTGTTTTAACTTTTAACGAGATGAGTAGATGAGTCATGATTCCGAAGCCAAGAGTACAAGTGGGGATAGTGAATGTCGATCGTTTAGGCATAGGTAAGACTCATAATAGCACAAATAATACAAAGTTAAAAACACGAATGAATAAATGACGACAAGATATTAAAAATCAAAATGTTTTACAAAAGTGTGGGGGTCCGATTCATCTTTCGTCTTATCTTAATTGTATCGGCTTGTAAGTATGTATCAACTCCAATCGTTGATCAAAGAATTTTTGACCACACATAAAAAATAAATAAATCATGTATTAATAAATCGTGTACTGATATGTTGACTCCATGCTCTTGTTTTGTATAAGGTGTTGGTCATAGACGTATGTGTTAGTTTGTATTTTATTCTTGATTGAAATGATTTCATTAAACCAATATAAATAAGGATTACAATACTAAGTTTAGCGATATTTGGGCTGCTATACAATGGGACACATAAATAACACAAGCAAAAATAAAATACAAACTCATATATACGTCTACTACTAACATAAACTGTTAGTCATATGAAACGTCTATAGTTTCCAGTTTTACCCAGGTATTTACTTAATTCCTTGTGGATTGTATTTGTAAATATTTTATGTATTTAAAGTTTCCTCTCTGCCGCTTTTCTGGCATGGAAAGTTATTCTCTCATGATCTCTAACGCCTAATACGATCCTTCCCCTTCTAATCGCTATCTTCTCATCTCCCCCATCCTCTTGCCTTCTCTTTTTGTCTCACGCCTACAGCCTCATGGCCTCCTCTTCTAATACCTTTGATTCTGTTCTTTCCTTGAATATTGTTATGCATCTGATCACCATCCGTCTCTCCTCCAACTATCTACTGTGGAAGAATCAACTTCTACCACTTCTGACATACCAAAATCTGGTGGGCCATGTCGATGGCTCCTCTCTCCCTCCCGCTGCTACAATCACCAAAGACGGAAAATCTGAACCAAATCCAGCCCTTGCCACATGGCATGCTGCTGATCAACGTACTATGATTCTTCTCCAAGCCTCTCTCACGGAGGAAGCTTTTTCTAAAATTGTTGGCCTCGGTACTACGCACCAGATCTAGGTTGCCCTAGAAGCCGCCTACAACAACTCCTCAGTGGAACGAGTCCAGAATCTACGTGATCAACTTAGACTTTTGTCTAAAGGTTCGACCCTCGTCTCTGATTTTGGTCGGAAAATTAAGTCAATATGTGATCAGCTAATTGCCATTGGGCAACCGGTTGATGAACCTGACAAAATTCACTAGTTTCTTTGTGGTCTTGGTGCAACATTTGAGACCTTCTTCATTGGCATTCGTGCCTCCCGCTCACCTCTCAATTTTCGGGATCTGATCACTCAAGCCAAAGGACACGAACTCTTTTTAAAATCGATCCACGACTCTTCTCCCCCCACATGTTGCGTTCTCTGCTGTGACTGATCCAAAATCCATCACTCCCAATCGTGGTCGTGGTGGTCGATCATCTCGTGGCGGTCGTGGTAGAGGTCGTCGTCCCCCTCACTGTCAGCTTTGTCGTACAAATGAGCATTCCGCCAATGCTTGCCCCAACCTTGCCTCGTTTGCAAATCGCGCCCCTAGTATGGACCCTGATCTCGCTAAAGCCTTTAATGCCCAATGTCATGTCACCTCCGCTGGCCCTGACTGGTATGTAGATTCAGGTGCTTCCAACCACATGACTTCTTCATCAACATCAGTGACTCAACCCGCTTCTTATTCCGGTCACACCAAAGTCACCTTTAGTAATAGTGAGGCTCTTCATATCTCTCATATTAGTCACTCTTCCTTATCTAAGGACATATGGCTCCAGGATGTGTTGGTTGTTCCAAAGATCTCAAAAAACCTTTTGTTGACAACTGATATTAATTTGGATGTTTTATTTTCTCAACCATATTTCTACATTCAGGACTGCATGACGCGGAAAGTTCTCGCTCGGGGCATATGTGATCGCAGCCTTTATGTTCTCTCTACCGCACCACATGCATGTTTTGCTTCCTCCCAGTCCTCATACAGCGCCTCCTTTGAGCTGTGGCACTCACGCTTAGGACACGTGTCTTTTAATACTATTTTACATTTAAAGAAAAAGGGATACTTGTCGGTTACCTCTATATTACCTAAACCTGTTCTGTGTAACTCTTGTCAACTTGCTAAAACACATCGTTTGCCTTTTGTGAGAAATGAAATACGTGCTTCAAACATTCTTGATCTAGTTGATTGTGATTTATGGGGCCCGTCACCCGAATATTCGGTGGATGCTTACCATTATTACATTATTTTTGTGGATGACTATTCCAGGTTTACATGGTTTTATCCTCTTAAAACTAAATCAGACTTTCCCACTATATTGGATGTGTTTCTCAAATTTGTTCAAACTCAGTTCTCGTGCAAGATCAAAGTTTTTCAAAGTGATGGTGGCATTGAGTTTCTTAGTCACAATGTTCAATGACTTTTAACTGACAATGGCACATTTCATTAGGTCTCATGCACGTATACTCCGTAACAGAATGGACGGGCCAAACGTAAACATTGACATATTGTTGAAACCAGCTTAGCCATGATGTTTAACGGTCATATGCCCCATCTTATTAGGTACATGCATTCAACTCCGCTATCTACATCATTAACCGTCTTCCTATGTCGGTTCTACAAAACAAGACGCCATTTGAGCTTCTCTTCGGCCGATGCCCGTCATATGGACATTTTTGTCCCTTTGGGTGTCGTGTCTATCCATATCTACGCAACTATGCAACTCACAAACTCTCTCCGAGGAGCCTTCCGTGCATTTTCCTTGGCTATTGCTCTCAATATAAAGGATATCAATGTCTTGATCCTACCACTTCCCGCATATTCATTACTCGACATGCTAAATTCGATGAACAATTGTTCCCATTCACTGGTGCATCCTCTCAAACCCTAAGACGTTGCTCGTGTTATCTCGTTTCTCTGATGAAGACTATGGTTACACTGCTCACACATCACCCGTGACTGCATTCTCGACTCCTTTTTTATCATTAAATAAAATGAATATATGATTTAAGTATTTAAGAAGAACGAAAGCTAGATTAACCAAGAGGCAAGAGATGTGTGAAATGGCTAGTTATGGGCATTAAGTATTTGTTTAACTAGATTAGAGTCACACAGACAAATAATGGACCCAAAAAATAAGCACATGAATCATGATGTGCATTATACAACATAATAGGCCCAATAGTCTTCGCATAAAACGACATAGGAAAATAATACTAAGCCCAATGTACGTGTCAGCCAACCACCTTTTGTAATAAGTGCTTATTCCTTTAAGCACTTTCTTCCAAAATCTAGATCTAACCCTTAAATGACGTCCTTAATCATAAAGTTCCCAACTTTTGATCTTGCATTACTATTAAGTGCTTAATACCAAACTCTAACTTAATACAAGGTTTAAACCATTAAAGGGCATGCATGAAGGTATAAGAACAATCAAGACTCCATTTTTATCACTGTAGACCTCTCAAAAAGTCTAGAAGGACAAATCACTTGGTCTAGAGTTGCTAACACTCAAATAAACCAAAATATAGGACCAAAATGAACCCAAAATCCATGGCTAATAAGATCTAAACAAAACTTCATCAAGATTAGAACTTTTTGCCTCTAAGTGGTACCAAAAGATGATGTGTTTCTAGATCTGAAGGCTTCGCTCTTCTAAGATGGTATGTTGTTGATGTTGCTGCGGGACAAGGTGGAGCCCGAGCTCCCTCGTTTTGGGAGTTCAAGGCATGTGGAGCTCCAGAGTTCTCCGGGGTCAGGGACCCCATTGTAAGCAGACGATGGGTGGCGGACATTGAGAATGCCCAGCACACAAGTGCTTTCCCAGAGGAGGCAAATGTTGGATTTGCTTCCAGTATGCTGAGGAACAGGGTTCGAGATTGGTGGGGCGAGGTTACTAGACTAGTAGGAGCAGCCGGTGGAGCTGAGATGTCGTGGGATGAGTTTGTTCGACGTTTCGATGCAGAGTTTGCACCACCTGTTGAGGTGCAACGGTTGGTGAAGGAGTTCCATGGTTTACAGGAGACCACCGAGATTATGGCGGAGATCACCGCTAGGTTTCGAGAGCGAGCTTTGTTGAGTCCTCAGTATGCTACGGATGAAGAGATGAGGCGTACCCGATGTCATGCTATGTTGAGGGGCGATATTCGGGAGTTTGTGAGCTTTATAGGGTGCAAAACCCTAAACGAGATGGCGGAGAAGGCACGTGAGAAGGAGATGGAGTTGTAGTCCCGCACAAAGTGGAAGACTAAGTAGGTATAGGAAGCAGGGGATCAGGCTAAGAAGCCTAAGATTTCTGATTCTTTAGGTAGGGGCCGGTGTACCAAGTGCGTGAGGTTTCATAATGGGGCTTGTCGGATAGCTGGGATATCGGGATGTTACTCTTGTGGCCAGTAGGGCCACATGAGTAAGGATTTCCCCAAGAAGGGCTTGATATGCTTCCACTACATTTAGACCGGCCATAAAAAGGCCAATTGTCCAAGGTTGCAGGGAGGAGGAGGAGGATCAGTGGCGGTGCCCGCGCCCGCCACTATGAGGATTACTGACGACCGCCCTATCAAAGCGGAAGCTCCAGCGGTGAGAAGCCGCGCTTTTCAGCTGACTACCGAGGAGGCTCGGGCAGCATTAGACTTTGTGGCTAGTATGTGTTTATTTTTCTCTATCTTGTGTTTGAAAATTTCTTATCTGTGTATTATGTGTTGTATAGGGACCTTTTTGGTCAATGGTATGTCAGCTCATGTTTTGTTTGATTCGGGTGCTACCCGATCATTCGTGTCTCTTGCGCTTAACAAGAAGTTCCAAGACACGTCGGGGACTCTAGATGCTCCGCTCGAGGTGGAGATTCCAGATGACCGCACTGTGAGTGTTGCGAGGGTATTTCAGGACTGTGTCCTGAATGTGCATGGTGAGAGGTTTCGCGTAGATT